GTACTGGTAATGCGATTGCATTGTGAAAGAAAAGGTGTGGAATGGATCAGAAAAGTTGATCATATAGCATGCAAGTAATGGTGTGTAATGCAAGGTTCTATAGTCATCAAAATCATCATAAATTTGGCAGAGTCTTGGTAAAGTAACAATCACTTACACAGAAAGATGTATATGGGACAACGCACATGGTGTCGGGGCCAGTACTACCCTGATTTCCTTATCTTTCTATGCTCATTTCTCAGCCAGTATACATTTTCTTCCAAAATTGTTTGGCACATGACATTTATTTGTAATCTTCAACATTCAGTGTAAGTTTCGTTAGATTCTGTGAGAATTCATTTTCTTTTTTTACCAGAACTCAAGTTTATCTTTAATACAGACCAAGACTCTATTCACACTAGGGCAAGTCCAAGCTGTTTTTACGCAGGTTACCCACCATGCTCTAGTAGAGCTTATGTGAGACCAATATGAAATGAAATGACTCATTTGATGTATATCCATGTGCGGAATGCACAATACTTACTACAGCACTTATGTCTTTTATCAAGACACTCATCTACATTTGCCACTATCCACCCAGGTGTTACATGGGTACCGGTAGGAAGGAATTCCTTGGTTACTATGAGCACAGATAACGGTAGCCTAGCAGAGCCGGGGAGTAATATTTGAGCGCCTTGAGCACCCTGCGTGGTAGATATACTGTATGCACTAAACAAATATCCTATATTATTATTATCATTAACGCTTGTCACGCCAAATGACAACGTTCTGTGGATTCAATCACACTCATTGTATAAAAACTGTCCATCTGGATACTTCACTTCTTTCTTTTTTTCTGAGCGAGACTGAGCAGTTCTCTTAGTACACGAGGATACATGTTGGTCATGATATCAAGTGTAGTGCATGTTGAGCTTCATTCATTTATGCTGTGGCAAAATACATACCAATCTATGTGTAAATGAACGGCAAGCGGGAATGAAAAAGTAGCTGCGTGCAACAAGGTCCTACTCGAGTATCTGCGTGCTCTAAAGATGCAGAAAAGTGAAGCACATTCCACTTGTGAAATTTTTTTTTGGCCGCTGCATTTTACCATTGCACATTTGAACAGGGATTTAGACAGAATTACCTTCCTTGAATTGTCTCGACACTACGACTAATAGTGCTTTCATTTTGGGGTCATCCTGTGTAAAGCATTGTTACTTTGTTTTTACATGAATATGGCTTGGACGACAAAGATACACACTGGACAGGATATAATGGCCTGTCTGGTTTCTAAAGTGAGGTAACCACAGATAGAATGAGAGTAAATCATCAGCAAGGAGAAAGTTTTCTAGGATAAGTTAATATAAATATAAAATTGTAATACCAGATATGTAAGACTGCTAGAAACAGTACGCGACCGACCACAACTTTAAGAAAGAAATTGAAAAATATATTGACAGCCTCATTTCACATTAATTAACTGTGGAAATAATAGGAACCTGCTAAACGTAATAGGACGAATTATTTCATTTTAACAAGCATCACAGACTAGCCCTCTTAAAACTGATGTTACAATTTATGAGACATACATGTAATGTACATGTACAGAATGTGTCACAAGAAAAAGCACTGTGTGGTTACCAGAATACTGCAGTGATACCTCCCGTGAATAAAGAACAAACAATTATCATGTACTGTACTTATACAGTGTAGACAAAAAAGAAGGGAAGAGATGCATATAGAGAAAGAGAGATAGATACGTAGGAGAAGGAAGGGTCCTTGTAATATTAGCATAAAGTGATTGGCAAAATATAAGCTGCAAAACATGAAGGAGAAAAAAGAAGATAATTTGACAAGGAAAGAGGAAAGAAAAAGGGAAAGTTTGTGTAGATGAAATGAATCCCTTGTACCATACGATCCTGATATTATGGCACTGTCTTATGACAAGAAAAGCATTGATTAAGGAAAGAGATTATAAGGGGTAGAAGATGGAGGAAGATGAGAAAGATGAGAAGGCCTGCATGGAAGGAAGTGGATGGCCATGAGATTGGGATACTTACAAATGTACTATGAAGATCGATGCATAAAATAGTAGGCCTTATTCAGTAGGTTTAGAGGCAGGCATAATAACAAAAAAGCACAGTTACAATATACACAGAAGATCAGAAAGTGATTTACATGTACCGGTAGGTCATGGAAAGCCTAGAAAACACAAGGAGAAGTTTGCAAAATATGGAGGTTATGTTGTTTTGTTTAGTAGACAAACAAAATTAAATTTTGCACAATTTGTGTTCAGTACAAGTATAGCAGTTGATTATTGTTTTGTTTTTTCGGAGGAGGGGGGGGGGGGTCATGTGCCCCCGTAACCCCAATCCTTTGGATCTGCCACCGAGAACATGGAAATAAGAGCCCTGATAACAAGAAACTGTTACAAAAACCTTTCTATAGTCGGTAGTCTTCTATTCTGGAGTAAATTCAACTGCATACCTTACTCAGTTGTGCCCCAAACCTCCACATATGTACCCCATGAACACAACACACTGGCAGTACTGTGCTAGAGAATATGGACCTTATCATCAGATACTGTGCAATGCATGTCTGGTGCGTAAGATTGTTGATTTGAGCGAAGTAATGGATGTCTTACTACACTGCTCGCATAGCCCCCTCTGGGTCCAGAGTTGACAATTTGAACCGTGCAGTTGGAAATGAGAAAAGGCACGTCAACTTAAAAATAGATTGAAAGTGGCTCACAAATTAGGGTTTCCCTGGTATCGAGATTGGATTGAGAGGTGTATGACCTGAGCTGTACTTGGGCCTAACCAACAGAGAGTACACTTTGGTTCTCTCGATTGGAAAGGTACCCTGGTTCAGAGCCAGAAGGACGTTAAAGGGATTGGGTAACTTTGTCTCAGATTCTGAATCCTGGATTTAGCTCATGCTGCAATGATAATTATAAACCTTTAGGTCAGTCGGGGGGACCCCATGACTTTTACAAGCCGATCGCCCGTCTGATTATCAAGATATTTATGATTGGAAATCGAAACCAAATTTTGCGTTTTCCTAATGGTTTTCATAACACTACAATCCATTTGGGAAAACGATGGTCACTCAAAGATTTGTTTACTTTTTTGAGGCACTTCTTGATCATTTTGAAGTCAATTTTCTTAGGGCTTCAATATTACACCATATCACAGACACTGATAACATGTAGGGCCGTGTATCTCAGATTTAACATTGTTAAACGATGCCTTTAAAGATAAGCTTCAGTTCTGGTAAATATAGAAAAATAAATTCTCACAGAATCAAACGAAATTTACACTGAATGTTCAAGATTACAAATAAAAGAAATGTGCCAAACGATTTTGGTATAAAATATATAGTGACTGAGTATTGAGCATAGAAAGATAAGGGAATCCGGGTAAGTATAGGCCTGACACCAAGTTTTTATCGAAGATGATGCTGAGTTCGTTTTTGTGCATTTGTTTTTATTTCACTGGTTGAAACAACCAAGGATAAACAATGCAGACTAAATCATTGCAAATTTTTCTAGAAATATGATTCCCATACCAGAGCTCAAGATTAACTTTAAGCATGTACATGTAGTAACGTCCTCCTGGATCTGAAACGTTGATTGTCACGCTCGTTTGTGGTGAGTGGTATCATGTTTGAATGTCAGACAGGTAGTTTGTATTTGTGTCCTTCTTGAACTGGACACGGTGATCAAGAATTATAGAGATAGTTGAGAGCTAGAAGAGTGCCAGCCTGATGTATCATTTTTGTTTGTTTCTTGTCTTGTTTTGAATGTGTTTATTAACATGCTTATAAATACGTACTTGTGTACGTCAGATGAGACTGCTTTTGGACAATTCATCAACAAACATATTTTTAATGTATTTTGATATGACCATTCTATTAGTGCTAGTTCCCAGGCCTTTTATTTAATGCAAAATAAAACAAATGCTTAAAAACAGAGTTATTAGTGCCTAAGGCTCTCATTATAATGATAAAAATACACATGTGGACTTAAACATGTGCATGTAGCTCATCTAATTAAATCTTATGCAGCTGAACTTGTATTCTTATCATCAAAACAAATTTTCCACAAACATTACAGATCATTACATTAGAATTATTTATAACACACATACTTAGAATGTCAGTTTTCTCTCAAATACTGTATTTGAAGACAGACACATTTTTTTCCATATAGATGTTTCCGTTCGACAATTATTTTCAGTGTGCATGAATGCACATGATTCATTGTACATTTACATGAAGAAAAAAACCTGTTAATTAGCAATTTATGTAATGTGATCAAATTTAATGCACAAATCTTTGTTAAGTGCGTTACAAATCATTTCATTCACCTGTTATAACTGTATTTCAATCGTCAGAATGCTAATTGCATACATTCCGTGTTATTACGTAGGACAAGCCATAATGTTTGTCCTACTTTGCAACAATTAAGTATGCAATTTGATTACGTTATGAAAATGGTCTATTGAACATGATGTTTTTCTTTTGATAATGCATTTATTCTACATATAAATCTATGTGAATGGATCTTAATTGTGACTTACCTGTATACTTGAAGCTATAGTTTGGATAAATAAATGAGTTTGTAGGTTTGGTCGATAATTACTGAAAAAAACATTTATAAAAGAAGCCAGATTAATTTAATATTTGGATGAGGTCTTTTTGGAGAACAGCGATATGAATTTAAGAAATTTGCAATGCAATGAGATTCATTTTATTTCTACATTTATCAAAAGGATGGATAGACAGAAGTCATGTGGAAAAGTAAAGAAAGTTCCAATTTGTATGGAAAAGCAAAATGTATTTAATGCATTGCCAGTTTAAAGTTTTGTATGCACATTTCCAGTGTGCATGTACTGTATGTAGTAGTCTATAGTAGTATGATGCAGTATTAAAATGAGTGATACAGCTTACAGGGAAAATGTCCCTTTTTCACATTAAAATTGCAGACCGTGAGACTGATCTTGGGCGCCACTTCTGAC